CTCATGATAAAAACGAAGCTACTCCTGAAAAACCCACTGTCCCTAGGTGACACTTCTCTTTGGAGGAAGATTTGAAGGGATTTAATAATGTGCTACTCAACAAAACTGAAGTAGGTATGACCTGAATAAATATACTTGGTTAATGTGGACTAGCTCTTCCAGAGGCCAGCAAGTTACCATTATGATTAACTGTGGGTCTGAGGGGACACATTCTTGCCTACTATGTTCCATCCAATTAAATCCATTTTACCCATGATTTAACTGTGTCTGCTCAGCTTTAAATCCAACGACTCCACTGAAGATCGTGAGCCGCTTTTACCTGCATGCATGAATAAAGGAGGAAGTACATCTTGTCATTATTTCACTCAAGAAAGGCAGTCAACACCCTGCTTTGTTCAAGATTTCCATTGGTGAACCACTTTAACCAAACTGTTTACTTTAGTGGTCTTAGACCCTGAGCTCAATTTTGGGGGAGAAAAATAGATAGAGGAAAAAGAAGAGACCTCCTCTCCAGTGGGGCCCCTTTTCATTCCAGATGTAGCCATGAGTGATGATGAGCCTGCCTTATGCTCCTCAGTTAAGTGCTGAGGAAATGAGCTAGGACAAAATCAGTCCTCATCCTCCCTGTGCTGCAATTCCTCCTCCTTGTGAGGGGGAAGATACCTTACAAGGATATTGCATGGATAGATTCATTCGTGTTTGTGAAGCATTCAGATATATGAGAATCATATCAGCACTTAGAAATATCTGCAGATCCTGTGATAAGCTTCTGATAGTTTACTTCTGATAGTGCCTCTCTTTAGACTTTAATTCTCACTATGAAATGCTCGAGGGAACCAAAGTGTACATTTCAAAACAGAAATTATGATCAGCAGCTACTTTTTGCTTGCAACTTCTGCAGTTCTTTCTCATGCTTACAAAACCAAAATAAATCCTAAAACCTGTATTTTTTCCTTTTCCTCAGAGATGTGAGTCACTAAATTAACTTGATGCCTGCCGGTCCTTCTGAGCCCAATAAGCAAATTAGACCTCCAAATTATCACAAAGTGCTCAGATCTGGCAAAAATTAAGTAATTAGGAGCCTTATTTTTCTAAGCAACCAGCAATTTTATGTCTGTTTAGGAAGAAACCTCTTCTGGTGTGAGAAAGAACAATTCTTTGAGTCACAGTGAATCCATGCACATTTACCTCAGACTGAAGTTTTGGCTCTACTTATCAATGCATTTCAAAAGGAATAAAAAGGAAAAAGAAACCACTGACAGTCCATTATTTTGCCTTGCCAAAGAAGTTAAGAAAGTACTTCTTAAACTTTAGAATTATGTTTTAAGTAGGTTTAATAATCATACAAAAATCCCCTTCATCTAAACTCAGGGAGATACTGGTATCAAGAACAGTACCCTTATGTCACTGTGGCCTGATAGACAGAAAAAAAAAAAAAAAAAAAGTCTGTTACTGCTTCAGACTTACAAAAGAACTTTGGCTCCAAGCTCAAAATGTAAAGCAGGCTCCTAAGAGATGAAAAGTGTCGTGACTTTTTTCTGCTAAAGGCTGAACACCACATGAATCCCTCACTGCCCCTCAGGAGCCCAGCTGAAGCTTTGAACTTAATTTGTCTTCGGAAAAAGAAGGCAGCACAATACAGCACCCTGGGCCTCAGTATTATGATTGCTTGAGACTGTGAGGGAAGCACATACCTTGGACATATAGGGTGTATTCTGAAAGAAAACTCCAGCAGAATCATTCAAAGTGTACCTTTCCAAAGGACAAGGAATAACATTTTCAAAACACCTATATCACCTGTGAGCCTACACTTAAAAGAGTGACTCAAAATGACCTATATTATGTAAAAAGATTAAAAAAAAATCCACAGTTGTTTAGATTCAGATTCATAAAAATATCTAACTATGTATCTTTAGTGATTTGGACCTCAGCTGGTGTGGTTGATTTGCATTTTGCACCCTTGATGCAGGTACTCTCTACCCTTTTGGTCAGCAAGACGAGAACATCCCACGTTTGCCTAGCTGCGACCTTCTCGTTCAGTCTGAGAGTAGCCAGCCAGGTCGGCACCTCATTTTCCCAAAACCATTCTGAACAAGGCGAACATCCTGCTAATTGCTTGTTAATAGAAAACCATCACAGTCACAATGAAAATAGCAGTTTCTTCAGTTTAAACAAATCATTTTGTGGTTTAATTTCCTCTTTCTTGCTGATAGGTGGCACCATTTTCTACACAGAATGCCAACACTTGAAGCACATAGAGAATTTCCACAGCTTTTGGCAAATGCTTCACTGCAGACACACCACAGCACCAACCCATGTGTGTTTTGGAGCTCTGTCAATAGATTGGACAAATTTCACTGCAATAAACTGCAAAAGCAGAAAAAATATTTCCTGAATTCTGGTTGAAATCCCTTTATTAAAGCTCAGCTATTCATGGAGAGAACCCAGGTCCTGATCACCTGGTGAACTGTTGTCTATTGAGTCCTGCTTGCTCAAGGACAGTTCAGCTCACTCTCTTATATTTAACTTCCAGTTTTTCAATTCAAGGAAATCCCAATATGCTTTGCCCTTCCCTTATCATCCTATTTCCATAACTCTTAGTTACAAGACTGAAGTATAAACTTTTCCTGAAGGACTTTCTGCCAGCTAGATTTTTTTCCCCCATGGGTTATGATTTTTTTTTTTTTTGTTTTTGGTAAATTCTAGTATAACATTTTTGTTCCTTTGCTTTTACCTTACCATTACAGAGAAGAAACTACTTCGGTGCTTATTGTCTTCTTTTTAAAGTTCTACTAACCAGTCAGGAGGCAAAATGTGCCTAATGCAGGTGCTCGGTTGCATTACATGATCAACAGATAGACAAAACAAAAAACACCTGCGGAGCAATGTGTAAACTGAGAAGCCATTCTCTCTGCTACTTAGTGCTCAGCTATAGGCACATATAAATGACCCACAGCTGACTCATAAGGATTTTTAGATTAAAAAAAAAAAAAAAGTGGCTAAATTGATGATATTCGTTCTTCACAGATAATATTCCGTCTTTGCAGAAAATAATCTGAGGCTTCTGGTAACTTCTTTGGTACAAATGTTGTCAGGTGCAGAACTAATGACAAAATATTTACTTTAACCTAATTTCACTGGATATTGTTCACAGAAATTGAGGTGTCTGTGACAGTGAGGAACATGGAAAGCAGTCCCCAGCCTGGTTACACAACCATAACCCATGGGAGGGCCCTGAGCCCTCCTTCCTGGCAGGCGGAGCAGGATGTGGGCACATTTCTCCTGCCTCCACCAGAATGAAAGAAGGTGTCAGGTGCTTTTCCAGCTGCTCTGTGCTCTTTGATCGCAAATTGCAAACTTTGTGCATACATGCTAACGGAGGAGAAACAGTCTGTCTGAGCTCCCAAATCAGTGTTTAAACCAGTAATGTATATTTTATACAGCTGAGCAGTTCAGGAACCCGATCGGTTCTCACTTTGCTATCACCCAATCCAATATATGACACAGAGCATCTGCTTGCACTTCTACAAAGTTGTTTGCTAGCAATACAAAATGTGTGATGCTCAGTCAGTTCTGAAATATATTTAACAGGAGATGACAGAGGTCAAACTAAGACGAGGTGAGAAAAGGAAGAGTTGGCAGCAATTATTCACAGTTTATAAGAGAACTACAGGGCATCCTATGGAATGAATTGACAGTAGGCTTAAAAGCAGCGAGTGACTCACACGGCAATTGTGCTATTTGTTGAACAGGATGTTTTGACATCCGGAGGTGCAAGTGGATTAGGTGTGTACGTGCAAGGCCCACAGTAGTCATTAAACAGAATGGTTGGTATGTATAGCTTCTGGCTTGGGGAGTCCTTACCTTTTGAAATTAGGGGGCAATATATGATGAAAGGATTGGTAGACATATTCCCTGTCTCCTGTTTCATTCTTCTAAACATCAGTTATTGGCTGTTTTCAGAGATGAGGTGCTGGACTGCATAGGCCACTGGTATGACAGCACGGAAGGGAGCGTGTAAGGACTCCATATCCCTTTTCTGTTGCCATTGGGAAGATGAAAGTGACTTTGGAAGCCAAAAAAAAAAAATCAAGTCAATAGCACAGCTGTCAGCTGGAACAAGCTAGGTCTATAAATTACTAGTGTTCTCCAATTTCCATTAGCTTCCGTAGAGCAATGACATTTTATGATCTGCACGTTTGGCCTCCGTATTGATACAGGCCCGGTCACAGGGTGTGGGATCAGTCCTTCTGTCCTTCACTAACTTAGGTGATTTGGGAAGTATAAATTGTTCCATTTCTTTGGCTGTGGGAGTGTTCTTTAAAACAGTAACACAACATTGACAGACCAATTGTGCTTGAAGAGATATCAATTATCAAAACACAGCCCCAATAAAAAATTCCTAGCAAGAGAACACTTTCATCACCAGCTTCCTCTGTGGTTCAGTAGCTTATTTTTCCCCACAGTTCAAAGAGATCAGGAACGTTGATCGAAAGGTCAGAATTTTTTAATGGAGAAATCTACGTATGAATGCTTCCAGTGGAACACTTACTGCTCCCAAGGGAATATATATGAACATAGCTTGTATTACTGTGTGGATTGGTACCTGCAAGCATTATCTTAGTATGTCTTTATACTGGAATTGCAAGACAAGCCTTCCCTGAGGTCTAGCAGTTACAATGCAATCGTAGCCTGTAACAATATCAGTCTCATTTTGGACCTGCATTTTCAGGGGCCAAATCTGTAATGAATGTCTAGAGATACATGCACAGAACATCCCCTTTCAAACAGCTCACAATCCACTGAGCGGCGTGCTGTGCTCGTCTTAGAAATGGGCTAACTACCTTTTAGAACAGATTACATGCAATTTACATTTCAAAACATCCATATATTATTTGCTTTTCTAGCTTTTTTTTTTTTTTCTAGTTGTGTGACACCTTTGAATTTTAATACAAGGTGCCCAAATGTACAATAATAAAAAATGCAGCGCATGTCAGCAGTAAAATGCATAGTAATTTATTAACTTTTCAAGTGTAAATACAAATTGATTTCATGATGTGCCACATAACGAAAAATTATTTGCAGTCACAACTCGCCTTCCAATTACTGCATTATTATTTTTTTAATTAAACTTATTACAAAGAGTTTAAAAATTGGGCAACACTTTTTGATGGCCAATAGAAAATTGCAATTCTATGAAGAGTAGTAAGCGCTTCTACGAGTCTTTGAAGTATATTCTTGATTCAGAAATTCCGTTCTTTGAAATCAGGTTGGTATGTATTGCTTCACTGGGAAATTTATAAGTATATATTCTTGGGCAGAGAAACATTGTTTTTATTTAGGGTAATCCACAAGGGCAATAACTTTATTTACATATTTTAACACTTTTTAAAAATAAGTCAATGTGTTTTGTGAAACCATTCTAAAATCCATTACAATGTATCAGAGAGGTCATTGTAAATCTCTTTCAGATGCCATACATGATGGGGGCATTGTAGAGACAGAGCTAAAATCTTCACATGACATAAGGATTTGCAAGATACTTTCAGCAGTTATCAGTAATCATAAGGATTTTAAGGTACTTTCAACAGTTATCAGAGGAAAATAGGGAGACTGTTAAGTGAGAATCTGAAGCTAATTTATTACATTTGTCTAGATGTAAATATTGATGTGCTTTGTGCTAAATTCATTGAGAATTACCAGCAATATGATTTCAGTATTTACTCTTTGAATTCCCTTAGTTCATCAGGTAAGCGGACTCCAACTCTAGGAGAATATACTCAGTGCATCATTGTTTCATGAATATCTTTGTAACTATGCATAATCACAGCTGTCACCCTAAGTCCACTAATGTCACCAGGAAAAAAAAAAAAAAGAAAAAAAAAAAGAAACAACAGTGGTCTTTTCAATGGGTATTCTTCATGAAGGAATACAAAATTGTATAAAGTCTGTGATTTCTTCCCAAGAGAATATTATTTTGGTGGCATCCGTATTTATAGATGTGTGAAGATGTGATCCTGTCTTGGTTTCTATGCATCTTGTTAGCCAGTTCCACTATTTTGCAATACCATCTTAAAAATGGAACATCATTGCTAGAATAATTTTCAGTTGAAGGAATTTTTGAGGGCTGTTCTTCCTCCCCAAGGTTTTCACAATATAAGCAAACTAACTAACTAAAATCCCAAAGGTATTTGTGTCTTAACTGAATAATAATACATCTGTCTCTCCCTGAACCACAACTTTTAAAGTTCTTACAATGGAATTTACAGGCCATAATGGGCTCTGGTATGGCTCTTAAATGAATCATGTCAATTGAATGGTGGATACTGAAGGAATTACATGCTGTGTAATTGATCTAACGAACAGATTAGGGCTGATGCTATTTCATTAAACCTTATTAGCTATGGCTTAAATACTTAAAATTTCAGCCATCCTGTGTCAGATAGATTATGCCCCTTGTCATACAGCAAGTGAGATTTCCGTCTACTAAAACACAGTTTTTAAAAAGGACCAGGCTGATGAAAAGAGATGTAAATAGTTTCAAAAAGACTGTGAAGGCCTGATTTTCAAACATGCCAAGCCCCAAATCATTCATTAAACTGACAGAGATGATTCAACAGTTTCAGAGCATGCATGAAGAACTGCTTTAGTCTTCAAAATTTTGTGTTAAATCATTTCCGTGGAACCAGAGTTTAACTGTTTTTGGATGTGAAATAGTCCTGAAGAGTTTTCATGCCTCATGGATGAGCACAACATAGATCTTTATGTAATTCTAGTGGAATCCACTGAGTCCTTCGATACCTCAATTACTTATTTATTTGTTTATTTATTAAACTCTTTCTTCCTACTCGTTGCTGCTCTCCACTGGGAGGTGATGCCTCCAGAACCAGTAAACCACTAAAGCTAGTGGACAATTTTGTGTGAGGAACAAATGACTTTAATCCAGCCAAGAATAAAGTCAGCTTGGAAGATAGTTTATCGTTCTCAAAGGAGATAGAGGTGTTGTTTTTTTTTCATACAGGAGTCAGACTCCTGATATGCTTACAAAACTATGATCAGACATGATTGCTATCCCTGACATATACACAGCAGTGTGCAAGATCCGATACTCTTCTTGCCTTCTACTGTTCTGTCCTAGGACCTAGTATTTAATGCTATAAACTCTTAAACAGAACATCCATTGAAAACCCTGTTCTCATCAGAATTTCCTGTACTACAAGGCATATTAAATTATATTAAGTACTTTTCAGATGATCTGGACTGCTGCACTGTGGGAAACATGACTAAAAATTTGAAACAACATTAAGCAGGACTTCAGATTATTCTAAGGATAAAATAATGAAAAGAGACCCGTAGACTTTGGTTAAAACAGATAATAGTCAAGGCTTTTTTTATTATTCGTCCTTTTATGAGAGAATATTTAAGACCCTCTCACATGCAGATTTACCATGTTAATTCCACGGTCAAAGCAGTGGTTCAGACAGATAAAGACCAAAGTAAAAAGAACCCAACAGCTCTATTTCTTAAATATAAGAAATTGTTTCAGTAAGTCTTAAAAAAACCTGACAATCACAGAGAAAACCAACCTCACCTTTAAGGGTTTTTGAATTCTTTTACCTTTAAGGATTTTTTAATTCTTTTACATTATTCTGTAAATCTCAGAGCCATTTAACTACCACAAAAATCTGCTTTCCTTCTTAGACTGAAAGCCTGGTTCTTGCAAGATTTTTGCAGTGTACGACCTCTGGCTCGAAGTGTGCCAGGACCAGCCCTCAGTCCCACCATGGCTACATTCAAACGCTTTGTACTGGGCACTGAAAATGGGCAGTAGTGTAAATCCAAGGACAACCCCCAAATTATCTTTGTTTCCATCTTATTCTGTTCAGCATGCCATAGGAATGGTAAAAGCTCTTCAAGAAACAGATCACCAAGATTCATGGTACTGTAGCATCTGCAATTACCTATTTTTCTGCCCCAGTAAAACAAAGCCAAACATTTTTTAAAAGTACTATAAAATATTAAACAATACAAGGTATTGTCCCTGTCTCTCCTTCAGTATGACTGAATTTTCTTCAATGAAAAGCTGTTTGCCATGGACCCCCACCCAAAGCCTGCTGACCTTGATGCTGGTCATCAACTCTGATGGCCTTTTGGATAAGGTTTTGACATTGTCCTGCTACCTGTGCACAGACACTGCATGAACCACTGGAAACGTTATTAAATTTGGGTTCACAAAGGTGCTGTCACCAGGTTGACTACAGTAAAGTATCTATATTTCAGAATAACATTACTTATATATGCTGCCTAGTTCTCTCTTGCTCTAATTTCTTCTCATAGTGCTGGGGTTTTATTTTTCAAATACTGAAAATACTTCGTTGGTTTGTTCAGGAAATTTGTCTAGATGGTGCTCACAAAGCGTGTTTGCTCACATTTGACATTTTCACAGGATAGGTTACAAAATGGAAGCTTCAAGTTGCTAAGTTCCACAGCGGGCACCTAAGTCACCTTATTTTCAGAAGTAATGAGCATCCAGCACTCTCCACCCCCAGCTCCCAGACACTTGCTGGAGCAAGACAAAGTGCACCTGCAGGCACAGCACTGCAGGACGGGAGCCTTGCACTTATACTCGGGGCTTGTGGGCCAACAAAGGCCTCTAGAAATCCGTCAATCTACTAGGACATTTGCTGCCTCAAAAGAGTTAAATATGCAAGTGCTATATTGTGATGCCTTTACAGCCAAGAAATATAAAATGTGGCAATATAATGGAGCATGTGGTTATTTTACTTATTCAACATTTACCTGTGTCTATCGAAGAGGTCTCTAAAATGCTGTTTTAGCAGCTCAAAGGTTGAGAACCACCTGTAAACATATGCAGAACAGTCTCCTTCTAGAAATAGAAACTCCTAAACAATCAACCTTGAAATGTATCATATATTATATTATGTTTTCCAGTGTTATTTACAGGTCTTCTTTTTAGTACAATGAACCAGACATGCTGAAAAGGTAGGATTTTTTTCCATTTCCCTTTTATACGAAGTACAATAAAAAGGCACATGATTATTCACCATAGGAGTTGTGCACCAGTCAATAACTTAAAGCTAAAAAGCTACCCATTGGAGAACTGTCTTTTTGAGGCAGTATTGGGATCTCTCCTTTCAACTCATAGAAACATCTGTCTAATAATTCTCCTAGGAGAGCTTAAGGAAAACACTTTTCCGTGGTTTTCTGCTCTTCCAAAGATTTCCAAATCAACAGAAAACTCTTTTTAAGCTTCCCAGGTCATCTACCAGAGCAAGGAACAGTCAAATAGGGCATGTATGTGTTTGCTTTTATTTATTTTTTCTTATTTTTTTTTTTCCCCCTCCTTTGAATGCCCAACTATGGGGGACTCCCTAGATCCAAGTCCTGTTCAAACTGTTTTGCTTTAAGACAAATGCCTTGCAAGATATGGCACACTGAGCAATGGGCAATGGCAGGAGAGGCAGCTTCTCAGCCCCAGCAGTCAATGTCGGCCGTGTTTTATCCAGTTTCTAATCATCCATTTTTGCCCCGAGCACCTTTGCACGACTAATCTGAGCCCAAAATTTGCATCCTTGGACATTTCCACTTCTAGACAACGGCCAGTGTCTCTGCTGATGATTGGACCATTCTGAAGGAAAGAAAAAAATTGTTAGAAGAAGAAATAAAAAAACAAAACAGTCTTGAACAAAAAAAGTGCTAGGTCTGTAAATTCATAGAATGCAATATAAAATGCCTGGAAAAATCTTTATATAAAGAATAACTAAATCAGAAAATCTCTCAACAGCATAACAAGATCACAAAGGCTGTATGCATGTGTCCCTCAAAGAGTAAAGGACAGGATTAATAAAAAAGGTAAGAGGATATTCCTAGAAAACACAGCCCAAAATGCCTAGAGATAATGTAAGAACATTTCTGGAAAACACATGGTGGGAGGAATGCCTGGAAGGCGTATCAGACTATTTCTAGACATTGTAAGTGGGGATTTCTAGGAAATAAATCAGAGAATTCCTAGAAAAAGTGTGTGTGGGGAATCTGAGAAAGCATCGGGGCATTCCTAGAACATCCCTTTAAAAACCTCCTTGATTTTCATTCAACATTCTCCAAGCCACTATTTCTCCCCAGCTCCTCTCTGCATGGCTCCCTGAGCTATTCTGTACCTGTGTGAAATCCCAGAACCTCTGTGCTGGCCTCAGGACGTCTTCGCACTTCTTCAGGGTCGGTGTCCTGCCCTTCCCGTCGTCGACAAGGCATTTGGAGTCAGGCAGAAAGGCCGTGGAGCCCAGCGGCCCCAGCTGCAGGACGCCTTCTGAGCTGTAGCGGACCAGCTGGGGAAGAGAAAGGAGGAGAGGCATTCATCCCAGCCCTGTGTCCCGGCCTGGGGACACAGAGCCCGCTGCCACCTCCTGCCCAAGCACAACTGTCCTGCTGCCAGGCGGCTGTCCTGGTACCCATGGGACCTTCCGGGGGAAACTTGTAGTAGGATGCAGTATAGGACGCAGTATTCCCTGCTTTCACACTCATGCTCCCCACCCAATATTTTGGGCAGAAGGGCAATCAAGAAAAAGAAGTAATCAATATGCAGATCATACCCACTCAGCAGGAATTGATGCAGCAAGGACACAATGTCAATTTGCCATGCGGGTTGGTCTTAAGAGCTCTGTTAGAGGCTATTGATAGCAGCAGCCCTAATTAGGTTTTGTAAATAAATGTTACTGAAAAAATCCGGTATCCAAAAATGTGAGAGGAAAAAAAAATAATGAGGGAAATAAATTTGCTGAAATATCCTTCAGGCCTACATAATAAAGAATCACATTCTGATATTTCAGTTTTGCATGAGCCTTAACTGTTCTGAAATTTGGTGAGGTGGTAAATGCTACTGGCTGGAAATATGCTTCAGGTAACAGCCATTTATTATTTTGGATCATTTATGTATTTTTTAATGAAAAAGTTTTAGCAGGCACTATTAGTTTAACATGTACAACACAATTAGTGGTGTTAATTTTTACAAAGGGAATGTAATTGTTATATCTGTTCTATTTTAAGCGATCATTTCACCTGCCTCAAGTCATTCACAACACCAGAAACACAACATTTCTCCTTGTTTTCCTTATCTATGGATAACTGCCCCCCTAAAAAGCATTCAGAAGGGCTCTGTTTAGTGCAGACATAGTACAGTAGAATGCCTAGAATGCCCCTCCAATCAGTCTTGTCAGTCAGAGGTAGCTACTTCTTGCTTCTGTGTTTAAATCCAGAGTCGTTCCACCAGCATGGTGTTTTGCTCTTCTTACCCTAGAAGTAGTCAAATGCAGCACCCAAAGACTGCAAAACAGAGTCAGCTACATGGCTGGTGTGGTGTGAGGCTTGGTGCTGCAGGGTGAAGATCCAAGCCACTGAAGAAATGTAATTATCACCCTGGAAATTCACTGTCCATCTTGTCTTACTGCTCTTAAATGGCTGGAATTAGAAAGGGAAGGCAGGTCAAAAATGCCTGCCATTCAACAGACACCACTGACCAGTGCATGAGATATCATTAAGAGTCAATCAAAAACCCTTGGATTAGAATCTAGCTTTCTACACGCATCCTTGTTAACCTCACAAGAACCATGCTGTGAATAATCACATCTTTCTGGTTGTAAGAAGAGCACTGTCTGCTCAGTCCCAGACCAGCTGCCCTTTGGCACATACTGAGTACATGTTCATTTCTGCCACCTGCTGCTTGTGTTCAGAGCAGCCCTGGGAGGTGCAGAGTTAGGACAGAGCCTGCATCAGAGAAAGCAGAGGGATAACTACAGGAGGAATCTTCTTGACATGCACAATGTCATTGGTTGAGGCACTCTCTATACTCTCTAATACTTCCTTTTTCTTCTCCTTTCTCCATAAGGATACCAGGGACATATAAAAGAAGCTCAAGGAAGCAAAATGTTTCAAAATACAAATGGACTGCTGGCTCTGACAAATGGACTTGCTTTTAAGTAAAACCTGCCTGTGTATTTCACGCTTCTAATATCCACTGATTACTCAGCAGAGTTCAAATGAACTGCAGGCACTGCTGAAAATTACACTCGCTAGGAAATGTGTTCATCTTGCCATCTTTATTATACATCTCCAGGTCTAAAAACACCTGCTAGCAACCTCGTTGGCTCTGCCTCATCTAGATAATCAGAACCACCGTTTATAACAGGCTACCTGCTCTGACAGATCGGTTTTCCTTCTCTGGTTTAGAACAAGCAACATTTTATATACAGATATTAAAGTGGTGTGCAACATTCTTTGTCCTTAGAATCTCAGCAGTCAGAACTGGATGTGCTCCACATCACAGTAACCACGCACTTGGGAAAGGCGGTGTTATAAAGAAGCCTGTCAAAGCAGAAACTAGCATGTCTTCCACTTCTAAGGCCCAAACAGAAACAATAACTCTACTCAACTATCTTCAGTATTGAAAGTGGCAGTTGTGTGACAGCTCAGGAGAATAAAAGATGGCTTTGTGCAGGAAACTGATATCTGTACAATGATAAAACAAACAGACTATCATGGACTTAGTTTTCCTGAATCTGTACTTTCTTCTGAGAGTTCCAACAGTCATAAAAACTTACTGTCATCCTAAAATAAAAGAAAATTCTAAAAAACCCCATGCAAACCACTATCTCATTTCAAACCACATTATGTAGTAAAGTTTTAGTGTGTGTTTCTGCAAAAGCAGACCTGAAATTAAGGTTCAAAATACTATTATATGATTAATAATGCCACCCTCCAAAGACTTGGTATCATCACTTCATAGAGACAATATAAACTGTGCAAATAAAATAAGCATTAAAGTAAGTTGCTTATTACCGTAGTCTAGAAAACAGGAAGAGAGTCAATGAAATAGTGAAAATTACACCTGCTGTGTTCAAATTCAATCTCAAGAGCCACTACCATATTGAAAAAGAAATAACAACCTCTGCATTTGCATTAGAACTGTGGGCATGATTCATCATGCCCGATCCATTGCTAGTCAGCCAAGACAAAATGGCAAAGTCCCCTTTATTAAGGTATATCCAATCCCATTAAAAAACAAACAAACAAACAAACAAAAACATTCAGTGCAAATCTTGGTGAGCTGAAAGCCTTAGACTTCCACACATTCCTCTACATTTCCACACATTGCAAGCTACAGAACAGAAATGCTTTTTTACGCCTCACATGAGGATGGACCTTGGCTTCCTTTTACCTCAGAAGAACTGAAGGATCCACAAAGATGACACTGAAACTAAGTGCTGTGTTAAATACTCCAAGTTCTAATCCTGATTCTATCCCTGTAGGGTATTTTTTCTTTCAATTTTCTGAAATCTGAGCAGAATGGAAGAGGTGTCAAAGCTTGTTTACCAAAGCCAGCATATCCGATTAAAAACCAGTAAGCAGTGATGCCTACGGAAGGTGATCCTCCAGGAGCATCAATCTGATAGGTAAATGTCAGCTTGTAATTGAAAGATCTGACTTCAAAGAATCCATCCCTGCTGATTTCTAGTCAAGTGAAAAAAAAGTACAAATCAACAGTTAACTTTGTAGGAAACGCACAGATGGATGCAGTAGATTTCCACATTGAACTTAACCTCTCTCTCTTATTCCTGTTCTCCAAGCAAAAGAAAACCTTTGAACAATCTTTCAGCCCTGCAGGTTAAGGTGAGCTGGAGGATGACACAAATTGAAACAGTGAGCTATATCGGAGTCTGAACCATCCTGAACGTCCAGAGCACTTGTCAGCACAAGACAAGCAGATCACAAGGAAAACAGCTACCAAACACACAGGTTTGTTAAGGAATGTCATCCACTGCTCCCTGTAAGTGAAGAAATTTCCTTCTCACCCACCCTGCTGTAAGCGATCAGATGATCAGACGTGCTCTCCAGCCTGCAACTCTGGGAAACTGCAGCTCTACCAACTAACGTGTTAAATACCGGCCCTCAGGCGACAGCTTAAGTGAGGCCTTTCATGTCCTTTTATTCCATCTGTTTGTGTAGCTGTGAGCTCCGGGAAGCTGAACATGGAGATCTCCCTTCTTGCTGCTTGATCTCAGCGCTGGGGGAGTTCTTGCTCCCAGGGCTGCCATGCCTCCGCTTTCTCTGGGTGTGAGAGGGAGGAGAGGAGGGTGGAGAAAGAGGCCGCTCACCAGCCCTTCTGTCCCCAGATGCCATTTTGTTAAGTTCTCTTCTTTCACCTACCGTATAATCAGCTCCACATCACAGCGCTCAAGACAGACTCTGAGACGGTGAATACTTCCACCGAGGCTGTATAATTGCTCTCAGATGGTTCAAAACCCTGTGTGTACGCTATAACCAGCATAAGAAGTTTCCAGAACAACAGATTCCAACTTTGGGGTTTGCTCTTTTTTTCATTTCTTTAAGCTGTTTTTAAAATAAAAGGGTATTGTACAGAGCTATAGACCCAATGGCTATTACAGATGATTGTATATCCAAGCCACATGCAGAAACAAGGTGCTTCAAGACTCCCAATATACTCCTTTTTTTTTTTTTTAATGAATATTTTCCTGGCTATGGATGGTGTTTCCCATTGCCCTCCCAGCAGCATTTGCAAATCCTTTTTTTCCCTGAAAGGGATTTGACTCAAATTTCAGATCCCATGAATAAATATAAAAATGACACTACTTCTCTGTAAAGTGAATTTTGAAATAAACTTAGATGGATGAAAAAACTTGTTTGGATATTCCTAACCGTTGGCTTATACCATTTTAACATGAATCAAATTCAAGAAGCTAAATTGATGTAAACTCAGGCTAAGCACATTCAAGGATATCCATAAAGGAGTTATCCCAGTCAGAGTAAAGTAATTTAAAAGCTGATTTCAGTTGAAAAGATGTGATTTATGGTGGTAAAAACTTGATCTCAGGAATACACATAGGGAAGGGCATTTTGTTCACGGAGCAGTAACTGGAATGGTTTTCTTTTTTCAGTAGTATTGCATGACAACACCATTCAGAGGTGTGCAGTATTCAAGGAAAATGGAAGGGTAAGAAGCAGAAGAAAAGAGCATCATAACACAGAATGAACAGTAATCTTATGCCTAACCCAGCTTTTTCTATACACCTGACTGACTTCTGTTGGTTTCAGTGAAACCATGGGCATACTAAAATCCATGCTTATTTGCTTGTCAGAATTGAAGAGTATTAAAAACAAGACTGTATGTGAATAGCGGGCAGTTTTCAAACCACTAGAACACACCAAGCACTTCTCTAGGCACGTACAACTAACGTAAATCTCAACACAGCAGGGGTCTCTTATGCCCTATACTTGTTATGAAAAATGTCAGAAACTGAAAGTTAAATATAACAGACAACTACGCTCACCCAGGCTGATTATGAGAGGGGCTTAAAAATGTTTATTTAATATATTAAAAAGCTCGCTGTCAACACCTTTCATGCTATATGCTTGAATATCCTTGATTAGGGTTTGTGCAGCTGTGGTTTTCCTACTGAATTAATTTTGTAAATTCTGGTGAGATGATAGAACTTTTCCAGCTGTGTAATCATTAATTAACTTGGCTGCATCCGAGTGACTCCAACCTATACCTGTCTGTGAAATACTCAACTGTTTTTATCTAACATCAACTTTGACTTCTGCCTGGTGTTTCTTACAGAGTGAAAACATTTTTTATTATTTTTTTTTAATTTTATTTAAAAAAAAAAAAGGAAATTGAAAGTGCTGCAGGATGATTTGGTAGAATAACTTCTTGCCTTTCCCATACTTTTATAATTCTTACATGCAGGGAATGCTTTGAAGGATTTGGGAATAATGACTTTCTCTTTCTATGCTTTTATAAGATGCAAGTACAGGAGGGTTGTAGCTCATGGCTGCAGTTTCAAGTCTAAAAACAGCATTCAGGATCTTTTGGGAATTTTAAATTGATAGGATACTGGAGACCAATAGCAGAAGTGAGCCAGAAGAGATTTAATTGGTCAATACCCAACATCAAAATTTTGGAGAACACTCTTCAAAATACACATACCTTGTGTATTGTTATTTAAACCTGAGGAGAGCTTCCTAGTGTCTACTCTAGGGGTCCCAAATTCCAAAGGCATCATTTACTAGACAATGTAATTGCTTCTTACTGAAAGAAAAATAATCCGTTCCTTAAGCTTTTCCTGAAGCAAGCTGAAAGCCAGCTGGAAAGGGATGAAAGAAATTGGTCAATGCTAGATGTTCTCTGAGAGGTGAGCTACTTTAGGCCCCCAGATTTTAAGAAAGAGTCAGAAGAAGCTGAACACATCATACCTCCTTTCAAATAAATTTACAGTACCTTGTATGCCCTCATCTACTTTCTTCTATAAGTCAAAACATATGCTATAAAACAGGAGCCATGGAGGCAAACTAGCAGGTTAAGCACTTAAGCTGCAAAATGAATTAGTCAGAATAATCTATTTCATTATTCCTCTCAATGCTAGCATGATAATAGATGATTAGATGTTGCAAAGGGACTTTTGAGAAAGACTTAAATTTGCAGCCTTCTGGTCAGAATTAGAATGGAGCAAGAGAGTGAACTCTGAGTGCTTTGACATCTCTAACTAGAGTCTTCTTGGAAAACTCATTTACATCTAATTAAGCAACATAATTTTGTTACCTTACTCATAGGCTGTTCCTTCTGTCTTTGCTATGAAAGCATCAGGCAAGTGTCCCATAATGATTCTGCTAAGGGTGGACATTTTGTCAGTAGGAATTACTGTCTAACCACTTTGCTCTAATGAGGTTTGACTCTTCACCAGCTTGCAATTAAGGACAATAGGCAATATTTATATTTCACAACTCCTGTTATGCCTCCATGGTGATGTGTGAGCCAGGACTCCAAACCAACATACGTATGGGTGAACTTCAGATAATTGTTAAATCTGTGATAAGGTCAGAGTTTATTTACGCATGAGAATGTTCATTAATGTAGTTTTGATTCAGATGGTACTTCAAATGAAACCAAAATTACATTTCAGAAGAAGCTCAAATCCTAGAACTAAATAATATCCCACTAGTATTGGAAAAAAATATAAAAAAAATAAAAAGAAAAATTACATCACTATAAAGAATGGAAAGAAGAGATGTCATTTTGCAATCACCAGACATCTGTAAGAAAATAATACGCAGAGGGACTGACAAAAAAGAAAGTGTTCCATTTCAGAGAAGTATTGACTTAAAAACATATTCTCAATTTGCTTCAAAGTTGATGTTAAATATGTGATTAACTTTCTGCCTAGTCAGGGAAACACATCAGAGTATTGCTAAAGCACTTCTGACAGGAGCCTACAACAAGTGAATCAATCAACAATAAATATAAAAAGGTACTATTCCTAGAATAAGTCAGGTCATAATGAGAAGAGATGCTTGCTCAGACTGTCTGAATTTGTTATTTGTCAGTGGATCTCCTCATTACTAAAACAAATTATGATTCTTCTGTTTTCTTTATTAGCATCTTTAATGTATAGATTCCCACGTTGAACTACCTGGGAAAGGGAACCCAAAAAGACTACAATAAGGCCAAATATTTTTTCTTTGCAACACAGAGGTATACTGCCAAACTGAAAATTTCTTGAAGTTTCTTGAGGTTTCCCATTAATGACAGGATTTTAATTATTTACCTGAGAGGACATTCCATGGCATGGATAAAGGATTGCTTTGTCATCCTCTTCAGCTCCCTGATCTAAGCAGTAGCCACTAGCTTTGCTGTTACGTACCTATAACCAAATCAGAAGGAAAACAGTTGTATTAGATGTTATTCTGTAAGATGCAAGTCCAATCTAGCCATCACTTAGTTACAGTACAACTACTGACACAAATAACAGATAAAACCATTCTCATTTTCTCTGAGAAACATGTTGTTATTCTTCATGTATGTCAGGACTCCAATAATACAGTTGCTCCAAGAAAAGACAGCTTATTTGGTTGACCTGCTGTCTTTATAAAATTATTAACTTGGGTCAGAGTTTTATTTTCATCAATCACTTAAGGGTCAAAACCCCATTAAATTCACACTAAGAAACCCAGGCCAAGTTTTGCTCCAGATTACCCTAGTGTAGAAATAAATTTTGATGCTCTGTGCTGGAAACGTGACTTCACCAAACAGTATTAGAACTACCCTGCCGCTGTGTTGGCTTTTGCAAACTTTTACTTGCTTGTATTTTGTATATAAAAACAAACAAAAAAAAGAAACAATTTTATTTGAATTCAGACTATAGTACCTTGCCATGTACAGAAATGACATACATTATTGTGAAAGAATACAGCAAGGATAAGCAGCACTGGAGTGCTTTCAGTGTGTTTACAGATTGGGTTCAGTGAACCAACCAAGTCAAAAATTCATGCATCCTCCCAGACAAGCAGACAGATCTATAAAACTGTGTTGGAGCTCTCATGAAATTACAAACCTTTCTTCCTCTTCAGGCTAGAAGTATTACACACATTTTGGACACAAAAATTTTACAGGTTTCTTAAACGAGAAATTATTTAGATGCACATTTTGGAACAGTCAACAGGTCAGTTTTAGTTTAGACTGTGAGCAATTTGTCTGGCCACTGTAATAACACAGAAATAGTTGCTTCATGAAGTGTCAGAAAAAATCAGTAAATAATCCTTTATATTATAGTGTATGAACATAGCAGGCGATCTGATGGGATAAGGGGGTTCACTAGCAGTTAAATTTCAGGAAGTTTATTTTATGACTCAGGTACTATAGAGGCTAAAGAACATGAAGACAGCTTTATGACAGCTTTAAAAATGTGAATTGAGTCACTAGGAAATATATTTTTACTATTGTTTCATTCTGTTTCATGTCTACTCGATACATCTATTTTCCTTAAACTCTTTAAAATTCAGAAACCTTTTTCTCTGGAAAAATAGCCATAAGAGAAAACATTTAATAGCAAGCTTGATATAATTTAGGATGAAGCATCCTTTTTTTTTTTTTTTTTTTTTTCTTCCATTATGGCCACGTAAGACAGGAAGGGAACTATGCCAATTTATACTAGCTGAAAAGCTTGTATGGCTCCATTTTATTATACATTCTAATGAATACATACCTGCATCGCTGAACTTCCTGTTGGACTCAATAACTTTGTTATGCAACCACTCAACAGAAACAAACTTCTTTTTAGAGCCCAGCTTTCTAACCGTCTGGTATAATTGACACAACATTGGCAGTACTGCCGATGTGCTTCTCAGTTAACAGCATTTTTAGAGCTGACAGTTACTAATAGCCCCTGTTGAATTTACTAAATGTCTTTCGTTGGTTACTGCCAGGGATAGTTATATTAGGATGCAATAAAACTTGCACTTTATATCAATATCTGAAGTGCCTGACTTATTTTTATATGAAGTCAATCAACTGGAACAGAAAGGAGGAATGTCCATTAAGTTGTCTTGTGTTAAAATTTATTGCATTTGGATTTAATTGTAGTTCAAGCAGACAATTAAAACAGAACCTTAAAAACGTTACGCAACAGGAGCTGTCCTAAAACTTTGCCCCATTTAACAGATGTAACCTATAGCACTTTTACCCTACAGGCATATGACAGACTTAAAAAATAATACAGAAGGCAAATCTGACTGCTTTAAAGATTTGGATCAAGCATACATGGCATTTTTGATTGGTTAACAGAAAAGAAAGAAATGATCCAGAAAGCTGAGATGAACCAAAACATCTACACATTTCCAACATGTTTGGATTCCGCATTTTATTAGGGTCAACTAACCTGTCCATTCAGCTATCTGAGTAGGTGTTCTAGGGTCTTACTCATTACTGATGCACAGGTGGAAATGAAAATCCAGATTCTGAGCACAAAGCAGATTTTTTTTTCTCTGACTCCTTTTTATGATAAAGACATGCCAAATGGTAGCCTCAACTTCATCTGAACAAGAACATTTTTTTTATTTTTTTTTATCGCTAACAAGGAGGATTTGCAGAAATGAGTTAACAAAGTGAATATAATCGTTCAAATAAGTTTGGCAAAACCTGAAATGGGTTTCTTTACTAAAAATAATTCAGTAAATTTAACAGTTCTTATCAGCAGCAATTATTTCAGCTCTCTTGACTACTGATGTTTTGTTCATGTCTGTGGCATCCTATTTGGGAAAAAATGACCTCAAATTCATGTTCTCAGAGCTGCTCTATTTTAAAATGAAAGCCAAGGTGGTTGCACATTATTGTTAGTGAGAATGACTTCATCTGATACACCCCAATGGGAGGGACAATGCTTCTCAAAGCCACACTTCCCAGCGTTGATTAAAAGTAGGTGAGAGCATTTGTGTTGCTACTACCATGCTGACTTGAAATTGCTCTGTACATCCTGATACCCACCACTAAGATGAAAGGATTTCTGTAATGCAGCCATGATGTATTTTCAAAGACATACAGTACCTCTCCATAAGTGACTGTATTATTATAAACCCTCATTTCAGGATAGACGTTCTCCAAGTACCACTTAAAACTCCGGCACTGCAGTCTCTGTCGTAGAGCTATTCTTTCAGAAACATCTCCAAAATCAACTCCTGGGTTCTACAAAGTGGAAAGAGAATAAAGAAATGTCACCACATTGACTTTACAGTTGTTTTCTTTACCGAAACCAAATTGGAGTTCAATTGTATACCAAGCTGCATTTCCCTCTGTACTTGCTCTTTTGTAAGTAGCAGCTCATCAAACAGCTGCTGCTGAGAGTAGACAATAAATATTAATGAAAGTCAGTGGAAAAAGGATAACAAACAAGCAAAAAAAAAAATAGTCCAAAACAAAACATAAATCTAACTAAAAAAACAGTATGAATGTTGTGAAAATACAGCAATTCTAAGTGTTTGCAATCAAACCTGTACTCCTTTACTTCCAGATTCATCAGGATTTTGGCTCTAATTCTGATCTAAGAGACAGCAGCTTGATCATGGTTTACTCTAGTAACAGTCCTGGCTATTTGCTAATGTAAATGAGAACAAAACAGACCTGTTAAAACTTTGAGGCAGAGTTGCTCAAAAAGTCATTAAGCTCCATTAAGCATTTGCATAGACCAACATTCAATTTTTATAGGAACTGGTGCTCGTTTGCAGACTTAAGCTATAAAATGCAGTTAAACTCAAAACTTTTGCAATTCTATTTCAGAATTTAATTCATGTTTGAATAAAAAGTTCCAGGAAAAACATAGGCTGAAAGAATCAAATCAATACGATCAAAACCAGCCATTTCAGAAAGGCCAGGTCAGTTATCGTCTAGATGTAAGCCAGCATAAATTATCATAGTTCAACTTCAAGACAAGAACTTACCTCATCTAATTTGTTTTTCCAGCATTATAAGAATCAAATGGACTGAAACTGGGGATCTATCTTAAGTGCCTCATACAGAAATCTTTCTGGAGGAAATGTGTGTTTTACAAATTATGTCTAATGCAGGGTTACAAGACAGCAGGAAATCTTAGCTTGGGGTTTATTAGAATCCCCAACAGATGCCTTGTTTTCAGGAGAGAATACAAGTGTAATACTGAACAGGTTTTTCCATTTGCCACATAAAGAGATTGCTGTGCTCACTGCTGCTTGCTGATGCGTACTTTGTCATGAGCTCTCTACGTAGCATCCATTCAAATGAATGTTAATTTACATTCTACTTTGGGCTACATGGAAGGACAGCAATTCTCAGAAGCACTCAGTACAAGAAATCATTCAATATAAGATTTCTTTATAATAAAAATTAACGAGGAATAGATCATAAGTAGGGGTGTACAAAACTACAGATAAACTGCAGGAAAGCTATGCTGACCTGTTGATGTAGAGGGGGTGTGGGAACACAACTTTTCTGATATGTCCAATGATCATCCGCAAATCAGGATACACATTATGCACAGATCCTCAGTAACTTAGAAGGGAGCCAAATGTGGAAAAGATGGTGTGAGTTATGAAATGGTTAATTTGGATGGGTTTTGGTATGCTGCAACACATGTATTTTACTCGCCTCCCTTCATCCCTATTCCACAATGAGGGAATACAACACCTTTTTTACTGGGCTATTTCTACAAATCACAAGAGCAGCAAATTGAGCAGCTATGAAAATGCTGTGCTTACTTCTGTACTAGCTGAAGTCATCAAGTCTGGGTTACTGTGTGATGGTTCAGAAATGAGATGCCCGCAGGATTTAGTATGCAGGGACATTCTTTTTAGCCAGGCAGGAAGGTTTTTAGTTCTCTTGTAGAAGGTTTTTCTTATGGCTTAGACCAGTAAAATACTTGAATCATTGAGATTGAATACTACAGTAGAATAACTATGAACAGTAACATGCTAGCTTCCTTTTCCTGAGAGCTAATGGGGTTATTTTTATGTTGTACATTTTATCAATCAGTTTATTTTATGGAAAGTAAATTTTAATGTTCAATATTTCTGCTGATTTTATGCCATTTAATGTAGATGTGCCTATTTTTTTAAAGCACTGTTGTATAGTGCAGTGCATAAAACTGCATCAATAAGAAATCTCAGAGAGATTAAAGGAAATCATGTTTTGGTGTAAATGCTTATTTAAATGTCTTTTCTATTCTCAGAATTTGTTTGCAGAAAGCATCAAGTAAACGTATTTACCAAGATTACTTCTTTTTCATCTTCCTGTTAGAAACTTACCATTTGTTCAAATGGATGCAGACAGGGCCAAAATGTCCCTAAAAGCTTAAATGAACACTTCTTTGTCTTCCTTCTACTACCCTGGAAGTCTTGTGTGGGAAAGAAGTTAGGCAGCATTGCCTTGTTAAGGGAAAATAATTCTCTGCAATTACCTGTCATGCCGGAAGTAGCAACCAAAACACACCTTCAGAGATCTAACTTTCAGCACAATACAGAATGTCCAATACTGAACAACAGTAAGTAAAACTCAAGTCTCTGAGTATCTAACATATTCAGGCATCACGTACAGAAAAAGAGAAAAATTGCTCCTTTAGATATATATATGTTTTTAAAAACACAACAGAAATTAACAAAAATTGGATTTGATATATTACCTAGGTATCAGAGCACAAGTAGGTATTTAGGACAAAACTAAATCTGGTGAAGTCTTTGCCAAGACTCCCACCACTTTGTTGGACTCTGGGTGGTAACTGTGAATGTTCACAAAGACACAGCTGGACTGGCATACTTTCCTGCTCAGGTAGGAGCATTGCCTGCTTCCATTTACTTCAAACCAATCATCTTTGGCCAAATCCCTCATATAAGGGTTAACTTTTTAGTTAAGTTATCACTAGTCACAGAACAGAGTATGCTTCCCTTCAGCTGCTCTCCCTATGCCCCTCTACATGAATAATTTGGATACAAATACCACTGAAGGATACAACAGCAATCAGCTTCCACCTGACTGTGATATAACATGTATCTCTTCTCTTGAAGAATTATGCTCAGTGGAGGTGCAGCATGTGATATACTTACAGAATCAAGTACAGTTTATATAATATTTAGATTACATAGATTACTAGAGGTCCCCACGTACAATCTAGAATTCATACACACAGCAAGAAGCAGGATGCATCCACATTGCCACTCTCAGCCAGTAGACAATAAAGCTAGTTAACGTGTGATTCTTTTATCACATACTTTGTTTTTTATGCTGGTGAGGTTCACTGAGCCTCATGATGAATCATGATATTTATTTATGGACAATTCTCCAGTCCTCACCACTGTAGCATATGAACACCTCCAAGTTTAATGGCATCCTAAATTAATGACTTCTTCTGAGGAAGTGCATAAACCTGAAACATCGTGCTACAGTTAAATTATAAGTCTGTGTCACTGCTCCTGAGCATACAACAAAACTTACACAGAGGAAGCAAGTTTATGACAGAGCTCTGTACTGAGCATTCACCAGCTCAGAACTCTTCCTTCAGTTTTTTGAGTGCTGTATATGATTGCAGCAATATCCTTCACCTCTAAGAGCTAAGTAGGAACAAGTATCCACACTTCTGCCTTTGTTCAGGAGACAGCGTGGCCTGTACTTACTGCCATGGGGATGTTCCACGCCATGTAAACATGCGACTTGAAGTCATCCATCCAGACCTCAGCAGCCCGCAGGGCGTTGCGCTTTGCATAGTAATCGATGTCGTTGTTGTAGGGTTTCTTTGTGCGTTCGATGTGTGCCACACGAGAACAGGGTAACACCTCCATGCTTCCTCCACATTGCCAGACCTGGGAGAGTTTGAGGAAAGTCAACTGAATGATTTTTTATTTTATTTTTTTAAGGTGATGTGACTGCTTCTTTTAAGATGATGTACATACAGTGTACATCTCTAGTTGGAGATGGGTACTACTGAATAACGACTGCCTGACTTACCTGCTGTGAGGGTGAAACCCTTCCTGCCCTGAATTGACGAAAATGAGTACAAGGGGTGAATACTGCTGGCTGTGTTAGGTACAAAGATGTAGTTGTCATAAATACCCAAGTCCTTCCCCATAACGTCACTGTTCTTGGAACCATTAGGAAGAAGACAAATTGCAAGGTGGTAACCTGTACCATACAGACTAGTTTAACCTTGTTCTCGTTAGTGAAAATTCAAAAAAAATCATTTGTATCACCTGGCTGTGTTTGCTCCTGTATGAGGGTTACTGTATCAGCTCTCCAAACCAACTAACAAACTGTCAACATCTTAAATGTGACTGCCATAAAAACCTAATGTTACATACTTAGCATACATTAGCATCTTAGGTAACCTATTCCACCCCACAGCCTTTTATGACAGGATTTGAACATTGACTTTAGGAAGGAAAAGGAAACACTATCTACATGCACAACACCAACAGATAGAAGCATGGAAACATACTTACGTCCTCATTATAGAAACAGACTTGGATTGTGAGAAGGTTATAATTATTATTCTAATCTAGCCCCTGCAGGCTTCACTGCTTTTCAGCACAGCAGTTCTCCTTCACACACACACTTTGCCCTGCCTTCCTCAATAAGAAACACGCTCTGACTTACCACATTAGCACAGGATGTCCCATGGAAACTTTATCCAAGAATATGACATGAGCATCAGCACAGGATGTTTTGGTAAAACCATTAACCTAAATGTGTCAATTTAGCAGCAGAGGTCACTGCCACACTTGGCAGTGGACGTGAGGACAGCAAACATATTGCCTACCCTGTGCTTTGTGATGCCTGGCTCTCAGCTTTGAAGAGGAGCATGCAACAATGCAACAGTGAGGCTGGCTTCTTGCTCTCCTTCCCAGGCGGGGAGAAACCTCCCTGGTGCAGCTACCCCCAGGTTGAAGAGGACAGATAAAAGTGGCCAAGTGGAGACTGTACTGCCTTTCTGGACACTGCTGTACAAACATGGGGTAGTTTTTTCTTGTTGATTATTGACCCCCATGGTGGGAAACACAGAGAAGCTGTCTCTAAGAATTGGTGAGGTTTGGAGTCACGCAGGGTCAGTGACGTTTGTGGTTCAATGCCCTCAGGTCTGCACCTAGTACTATTGCCTAGCTGAAATAAATAAAAGATATTAAAATATAAGAAATGATCCCCTGTTTTACAAGTCTGCCTTTTACTCAGCATAAGAGCTCATTTCCAGACCAAATGTACTCCAGAACAAAACCCTGGGGCAGTACTGCAGCTAACCTGCCTTCTCAGGGAAAAAGATAAATTGCTTGGGAAGTGGCAGATAAAATCATCTCCTCCAGTTTGTGTTTTTTTTTTTTTTTTTTTTTTTTTTAAATACATTGTTAGATGATACTTATTTGCTGCTTTCTGAGCAGTCCTGTAGTCAATCACTTGGCCACAGGAATTTGCATTTGATAAATGAAATACGCCAAAAAACACACTGTTCATAAATTAGGACTGGCATATGCTGAGGGTTTCCAGTGCAAAGGGAAAGTGCTAAGAAAAAGAAATAAAATAATTTATTTTCATGATCAGAAGGGTAGATGAGCAGTACACTTCAGTATACTCCTTTTGCCCAACCCATCCTGGCAGTCAGCTATTTAATGCACAGCACATTTTTCTTTCTCTTGATATGGTTAATGACCTTGTAATTTTTATTTATGTATTTTGGTACCAAGGGCAAATACATTATCTGAGCAATGGATTTATTACCTTCAAATGCTGGTGCTCATGCAAACCTGAAAAGGAAAAGGTACTAAACTGCAACATTAAAGGAAACAGTTTAGCTCATCTGTAAATTCAACACAAATAGTTATTTACTAGTGATTAATTCTCCCCATATGAAATCCACAGGGAACTCAGACACCTGGCTTTGAAGAAAACAGGGAGGAGAAATAAAAAAGACAGCAGCAGCAGCCTCAGGCCAGATAATGCTCCCACTGTCAGCCAGGACCTGCGGTGCTCAGCAGGCAGCGTGAATTTGCACTGTGGTGCGACCACCCCATCTGCAGCCGGCTGGATTGCTTACATTTACATTCAGCCACGTCTTTCCTGTACCTTCCAGCCCCATTTTGCTCTTTAAGGAGAAAATATGTTAAAGAGAGAAAAGGAAGGAAACAGCCTCTATCAAAGGAGACAGCTAGGAAATATTCAAGGAAACTCTGCCTCCTGTGACGATGCTCATTCACCCTGGATAACTGCTTCTTTTTCCTGGGGATGCCTAACTTCTCTTTTAGCACAAGTGGGAGGCATTTCCCTGGTAAGGATGTGATGTCCAATGCCAGAGAAAGAGAACTGAAGATAAAGCACATGGGGCGAGGAGGCCGTTAGATACCTGTGTTACACCAGGCGGACATCGTTGTGCCACCATTTATCTGCATTCCAGATGAACACCACAGCTGCTCGACTACAGGTCATTTCCAGCCAAAGGAGGTCTCCTGTTTCACTCCCTGAGGTTGGCTGCCGTTCAGTGGGGCATGGACGTGACTGTCACCTCATCCATTTCAGTGCACAGTTAAGTAAAGAGCAAAGCTTTTCTCCTCTCCCTTTCAATCCCAATGATTTATCTCACACAAAATAAAAGAGTTTCAGTAGTACAACCACATACATGCACCCGAAACCGGCCAAGATCTTGGTAGTTTACAGTAGTCACATAAGATTTAGGTGAAGGCTCAGGTCTTGTGTCTTAATCAAGAGGATGAGGAGCGCTACCCTGCTGGTTATGGAATTGAAAGACATGCATGATTCGGAAAGCCATTGCCTGTCTGCTCTGACTAAAAGAAGTCTTTGAAATATCATGAAAGATGAAAGGGTGGAGAAGGTTTTACTGTGTAAAACAGATGAGAGAGAGGTGAGTTGGCAGCTGCCCCTGAAACTGGTTGATTCTCCTGCTCTTTTCATTCCCCAAACTGTATTGAACAACCCATTTTTAACAATATTAACCCATTTCTCTCCACATCTAATTGAGAAATTATGTCAAAAAATAATGACACGCATTTATATAACATTTATCAAACAGAGTTCTTAAAGTGCTTTACTGTGTGAAGCAAACCTGCAGACACTTCAAACCCACACCTGAGGTAACCACTAATCCTCAGTGAAACGCTCAGCTTACAGATGATCAGGATCTCATCTTCGCAGCTGCCCAAAAGTCCAAGCCTGATGCCTCTGGCATCAATAATGTAGACCTGAGCTTTTCTTGCTACCTTTTGATATGAAGCATTTTTGAAACAAAAACATCTATGGGAGAGATGGTTACATATGAGAGCTTCACTCCTACCCGACTGGTGGTGAGAGCCAGGTAAAGCAGCAAAGGGAATTTATTTTTACCCATGAGCATAAAATGATGCCCAAATCCCCCGAATCACATTTTAGGCAATCAGAGACAAACTTTGGCTATGAGAGACATATCTTTGGCTATCTTCTGTGGTAAGAGTACTCCCTAACTCTAATATTGACTTGACAACATTAATTACATGTATGTGTTTCAAGGTTCATTTACTGAGAATGTGGGAGTCAAACGGTCTCTCTGAGCCTCTCCCTACAGGGGTGCAACATCACTGAAAGGGAAACTCAGCCTTTTGATCCCCAAGGAGAGGCAAATCCCTAACAGTAAGCTTTGTTTCTGGCATTGCACTCATCAAACCTTTATTCTAGGCAAACAGCAGAGGCTGCACTGAAAGTAAGGTAGATACAGGCTCAGAAGATGCCCCAGGAACAGGGCAACAGCTCCAGCTGATGAGCAGCAAGAGCAGAGAAGCAAACGGGCTTCTACTTCGTGTGCTTCTCTGCTCAGTGCAGCTGCCGCAGCCCAGGGATTTGGCTTTTCCTCCACGAGCATCACACTGTGCAACATTTTAAGACATGATCAAGTAATTCCAAGAGACACTCAATTTATTTGCTAATTGTAGTTAATTTCAGCATTGCTCTTTAGGCTGCTATAAACAAAATTGATAGCAATATAAATGTTACCATAGCTGTGTTACCTTAGCATTTTTACTGCTAATTATCTCAATCAACTTTTCTATAAACAGACATATTAAGTATTAAGAAGAATAAGTACCCACATCAGGGATGAATTACACATGGAATGATAATGTTTGTGGTTTGTGCTACAATGATTTACCTACGCTAATTATTAGCTATTCCTGTGCACCTGAGATATGGCTGTCCTACAATATAAGCATTGTACTATACCTATATTGTACATTATAAAATAAAATAGTCAGAAATTATATTGTATTTGTCAAAGAAAAACCAAGATGAGACCGTAACTTGTTTACCATGACCTAAAGCTATGTATCACCAAAGTTCTGCAAATGAAGGTCAGGAGCATGATTTTAAAAGGCTAATCGATCCCTATGTCTGAATTGTTGCCAAACAAGAATAAACTTTCTGAGAAAGTAGATTTTTCCATTTTTACTTCCTGATGATGGTCCAAAGTATAACTTTTTGTGAGATTAAAAAAAAAAAAATCAGCTTCCGAAAAACTCAGAAAAGTTCTTAAAATAACTTCATTCAAAATATTTAAAAAAATTTAACGACATCCAAAAAAAGGAAGGGCAAAGAGGAAAGAAAAAAAAAAAAAAGGGAGAAAAACACTTTTGATAAAAAACCAGGCATTTTGGGAATGAAAGTAGGAGGTGAGAAAGTGCAATGTAAAATTCCTTCAAAATTCCTTGGTCACAAAACAGTTTCAAATAAAAAACAACAACAACAACAAAAACACAAAAACAAACAAACAAACAAAAAAAACACACACCCAAAAGCCTGGCAGCCTGGTCACCATTGACGCAGGATGTACAGCTGA